GGTAGTGTCACTGTTACACACAAGGACGTGACAATGCCGTTGGATTCTATTGCTATCGTGAGGAGAGGTAGGTGCAAGAGACGAAGAGGAGGGGTGAAGACCTGTGGAAGAATGGAGACTTAATAGATTTTTGCAAAGCCATGAGCTTGCAACTGAAGAAGTTCATGGACTGCTCCAGAGCGCTCAATTCAGTGCTATCATCTCTGTAAGAGTGTTGAGAAAACTCTGGCTGGTAGTTTTGCAGCACTGGGCCTCCTGCCAAAGCACACACCGTTGCTTTCACTTCAGGCATTGGCAGCTGAAGAAATCTTCATGTAAGTTATGAAGAATTGTAAACGAAGATGGGTTAGTAAATAATAGAGCATGTTATCTATGGTACCTCCTTTGCAGGACAGAGCAGAGAGGTTTGGCTCAACAAAGGTTTCACTTCGCTCTGGTAAATGGTAGGCAATTAAGCTTGGAAATGAAAAAAAAAAGTGGATATAAATAAAATACAGAACTTGGAACAGGTGCAAAATGTGAGATTGAACATTACTGTGGTCTTTGTATAGTTTGAAAGACAGAGAACTTGAATAACAATTGTATTGCAGTCAGCATAACATACCAAGTGTATCCAAAAGACAGGTGAAACATCGGTTGAAAACAAGAAGCAATTCAGATCCTAGTGTATACAAGTGTGAACTTAAAGTGGATATGTTGCAACACCCACAGGTGTGTCCATAGAAGTAACTTTGGTTTAGTTGCATAAAAGCTTCAAGCAATCGCCAAATTTTAAAGCAACTGATTAAAAACTGAAAGCAAGCATCAAAATCTGCTGAGCTGGTAACTGTTGCCATTAATCTGGTTACTTCAAGCTGATTAGTGTTTATAGCCATTCATTTGGCTGAGACCTATGTACCAGCATTTGACTTAAATCTGTGCAGCCTGTCATGGCAAATAAATCTTGAAAAGCGCTTTGGAGTTTGTGCTTTGGGGGTCATATTTTTATTAGCTGGTTACATTCTTGCATTGAAGCAGCCCTCAGGAGTTTCTGTTAATTGGTTTTCAAATATGGTCCTTTAATTGTTCAAACATTGAACTTAGATTTGACTACACTGGCTAATTTTTAATTAAAGTAAGTTTACTGAAATAACTTCGAAATTAAAATAGTTAGGCAGAATCATGTACCACTCAATCCCACTCTGTAATGCTCTGTTTGCAGGTAGAACCTGGCATCCCCAGAGACCCTCGCTCGTTTCGAGGGACTGCCTGCCTGGAAATCATTACAAAAATGGGGCCTTAAAGAATAGAATATAATTTTACTTTAAAGTGCTACAGTTTAAAATTCAGAATCTATTTTAACTGATACTTTACCTGTACAAGTGAAGTAATTTTGATGAGGAGGAAGAATGTTTATTACTGCCCAGTTGCTGAATAGGGACACTACTCTTAGTTCAAACATCCCCATTCTTTCATCTTTTTTTTTTTTTTCCCTAGCTCTGTCATCTTGCCACCTGTAATTTTTCAGCCAGTGGAAGAATTTCCAGTGCCACAGTAATGCTTTGTATTTGTTCCTGCTGTCTTTCCTTTAATTCTTTGTCTGTTGCTTCTGTTTTGTGGAAGTGATAGGGCAGTATTTCTTTTAATGACACTTTTGTTAGGATATTAGCTCTGCAATAAACATAGCATCTAGTTTGTGGATGGATTTCTTTGCTGCTGACCAGCAGCAGTCAATGCTCACTATAATGACAGCATAGCAAGTAGATCTAGCACATGTAGTTCAGGACAGCGTCTGAACATGCCTTTAGGAATTAAGCAACTTCTCAAAAAACTCCAAGAAATATACAATTCTTTCTGTTTCCATTACTTTTTTGTCTATGGTCAAAAGCAGTTCTATTGGCAAAAAGTGGTTTGTAGTGTTCTAGGATTCTTGTGTGAAAGAATGGAACATGGCATTTATCAAGCAACTGCACTTAGAGAACTTAAAAGTTGCACAAAAAAGTAGTCATATGAGGAAATGTTTAATATTACGTCTTACAGTCTTTTTAAGAAAAAGTCATTGTATAAATACTCTCTGTTAAGTGGAATTTTCTTTTCTAGCTATTGTAGTAACATAGCACCAGGAGGAACGATCCTTAAACAGGAAGTTATTGGTCTTGTTCTTTTGATGCATTGCCTTCCAGGAATATTGCATAGTTGATCTGCTCTTGCTTTTATATAAGTTGTCTGGTAGAATTTAGTTTGCAGGGAAATAATTGTGGGGTAATCATGCAAATCCATTTCAAGTTGAAGAGAATGTTGTATTCACAGTGCCCATTGAAATAACAACGAAGACAGATACACAAGTTTAAGTCCTTGTTTTGAAGGCTTGTTTACGGATTTTGACCTTTTGAAAACTGTAGGTTTTTCTTGGACTGTAATCTGACTACTAAATTGGAGGTAGCCTATGAAGGAGGCAGAAGTAGGGAATGATAATAGAATGAAGTGGAGGTGTACAGCTTCGCAAGACATCAATTGAAGTCTCAGAAGATTTCACAGAAGCTGCGTAATTTGATGAATCACAATGGAAAGATGAGTCATCTGAACAAACAGTGAAGTTCTGTGACTTAATGATGTGGTGTAGAAATAACAAGGAGATATCAGATGACAAGGAAATTGTATAAATTTTAAAAAAAAACAAACCCTTGAGAAGTTCATATGCATCTTACAATAAGATACAACTAGTATCTAATGAGATGGAATATTTTAGCTGAAAACCAAGTGATAGGTGTTCTTTAGCAGAGCTGAGGTCAGGAGATTAGAGACCTCTTTGTTCTCCTACATAGTTACATTTGTCAATCCAATAGAATTGTGTGCAAGTGAAATACAATTAAGAACAGTTTAATTGCTGATTTTCATCTATGAAAAGTAGTATCTATTCTCACTTCATAAATTTTACATGGTAACTTTAGTAGAATATTTCTATTTAGGACTGAACTTTGAACAAGGAGGCATTTTTAAATCATAAGCTGTTGATGCAGAGAAACATAGATGTTGCCATATTGGAGTATCCTTTGATTTTTGAATGGTATCAGAGGAAGGAAGCCCATAGATGTTCAAAGCAGGATTAGTCTGAGTACAGAGTTAAACTAGTGGATAAATGACAGATTTAGATGAGAGTGTAGACATATAAATTTAAATTCAGCATTTCACTTACTGTTTTGTGATTATGTTTGACTGCGCTTTTTTTTTTTAATAAAGTAATTCATAGTGCAAGAACCATGTTTTACTAGTGGAAGTGTTTCCTTCTAAAATGCATTGAGCTGCACATTTTAAAAGGTTACTTCATATTGTTTATGGCTCTTGCTTATAGACATTCAGATTCTAATTATTAATTGATGCTTTCTGTAGTCAGTGCTTCTATTTTTTTATTTGGATTATAATTCCTGTTTGTAATTTTGGTTTCTTGCATATAAGATACAGTATATTAGGAAGAAGACAGCTTTCATATGAGATACATATAAGATGCAGTATATGAGTACGTATATACATATCATATAAGATACAGTATATTAGGAAGGAGATTTTATTAACTGACTGCCTTTTTAGTTTGTAAATTTAAACTGTAAATAAAATATATACTTGGATTTTCTTTCCTGAAGTGGTTTGTCGTGTATCTGGTAACGTTGAGTATGCAGTTGGTTTGCTAGCTAGAGTTAGTTAAGATGTCATGACTGAAGACCTGAAACAATAAGTATGTTGAGAACTATGCAGTCCTTCACAGTCACCATCCCATGTGTTGTTAAAGGTTGTATGTAGTCTTAAAACCTGGATGAAGTTCCTTGAACTGTACAGCCTGAAAATGAAAAAGTAAATACTGTGGAACTGCTTGTTATCTGTGTTGTACTGGCAGGACCACGCAAAATTCCTCATGCCTCTGTGTGTGTGTTGTGGTGGGGAGTTAGACTTGGATCGGGTTTTCTTTGTAAATGAAATTAGTTCAGCAACGACTAATAAAGCTCATGTAGTAAGTTACTTGGCAATCTGGCAAGCAAAGTTTCACCACAGGAAAAGATTGATTTTGGTTGGTACTGTATAACAGGATTATAAAACCCTTCCTGTAAAACAGGGTTAGAATTCAGTGGCTGTTATGTACAGGAGTACACCACATGATTGGCTTGGAGCATAGTGCTCTGATTTCCTGTTTCTGGGGTTTGCTTATTTTTTTGTGTGTGTGGTTTGTTTGTTTGTTTTTTTCGTGTTGGTGATTTTTCTTGACATGTAGCCAAGTGGTTCCACTCTACCGCCACAAGTATCCAAGTCTGAATGTCTCACCTTTTCACTTGGCATTTAAAAAAATTGAATAACCAGAGTTTATAATTTCAGAATTGCACTTAGTTTCATAGCATTTCAAAATTGTGCCATTAAAGAAGCATGTCTCGTAGCATGTCTGTTAAACTAATAGTGGAAGTTTAAACATGTGAGGCAGTCCTGTTTATCATGGCAATTCTGCAGTGTGTTTGTATTTTTATGGCAATACTGTAAATGGTGTCATCCATTCTTGCTTGAGTGTACAAATCCAGTGATTAGTCAGATTTTGTTTATCTGACAGTCGCAAAGTTAGAACATTTGTAGTGCAATCACCAATTCAGACACATGAAATACTTTCCTGAAGCCTGAAAGTATACTTGAGATAGCAATGTATGCTTCATTTCATTTCATTTTTATCGTAATTGAATTAAGGGGATGATAATTCTTTACTAAGTTATTTTTTAAATTAGTGTTAGTATGAAACTTGAAACATTCAGTTACGAGATCTACAATTTTGTCATGTTGTTTGGTCTTCGGGGTTTTTTTTTGTTTTAACAGCAGTGTCTCTCAGGATCTGAACTATACTTTTAGGCCAGTTCTATGAGTTTTGTGCAGAACTAAATTTCTTGCTGTCAGTATCACTCAATATTCTCTAACATAATATTAAAATATTAGCAGGGCTTACGTAAAAGTAGTAAGTGAAATTTCTTCTGTTTTCTTTAAGGTTTCAGAAAGAGACAAACAACAAAATGAACAATCCAGCTATTAAGAGAATAACAAATGAAATTATCAAATCACCTGAGGATAAACGAGAATATCGTGGACTGGAATTGGCGAATGGCATTAAAGCTCTTCTCATTAGTGACCCCACCACAGATAAGTCTTCAGCAGCACTTGATGTGCACATAGGTATTTAATGCATGTTGTGTTCATGATGTCATTAATAAAAATGCTTTAAGTTTTGGTATCCTATTGTAAATAAGTGATGGGAGTGGTATCCAATTGGCAGCCTAGCCTTTTATTGTAATTTAGAATTTGCTTAATTCTTTGACACATCAAGTTGAAAATTACTAGAGCTAATTAAATTGTCGTATTGTACTTTGTGTTTACTCAAGTGTAGCTCAGTCAGTAGAATGACTTCTTATAACCATTAAGTTTTGTGTTATGAAAGATCTTTTGTAAGCTGAAAAGGGGCGGGTGTGAGTGCAATTATTTCAGACAGCTCCATCTGTCATGTCAGACTTTTTTCTTTTTTCATGTTAAGTTGTTGATGTGTAGAGGTGAGAAAATGCTGTAGCTGGAGAGGCACTCACTAACTCCATTGATGCTTAAGTGTCCAAACAGAAATACTGGAAATAGAAGGGGAATGCAGTTGCTTTGACTTTGGAATAATGGAAGCCGTTTCTTACTTCTGAGGCTTTTCTCAAGCTTGTGTAGTTTCTCAGTTGTTTGGAAAGTATGATGCACACACACGTTACTTAAGCATCATTACTCATTACCTGAACATCCTCTTGCCAGGTTTGTAGTTGGGAGCTCTTTCTGCTCTTAGTATTAGGACAGAAGTAGTAGAGTAACTTTGAAAACTTCTGGCCTTTTTTGTTATGGAGATGCCTGTCATGAATCATTACCTAGTTTAGAGGATCCCAAACGTGGTTTTGTTAGGTACTGTGACAGTAATAGCCAATTGCAGCATCCAGTTCCTGCACGTGTACTGGAGAAGATCTGTCTGTTGCCTTCAGCTCTACTCTCCCATTGCATGTCATTGCACACTCCAAAGCAGGACTGCTAGACTCAAACTTCCACATTTCTGGCTTCTGTTCTTGCACATCATTATTGTCTTTTAATCTGTCTGCCTTCACACCTACTAGCTGGTCATCAATAGCTGCTTATGTTCAGGCAATTACAGGTTATCACTTGTCCTATAAACCGCAGGAAAGATACCTCCTTAATTGTAGTTGGCAGTTGCTGCCTTTTAACACTGCACAGTTGTTAAAGTCCAGGTATAGAAGTCAGAACATTGTGATCTGCCAGGTCTTTATAGATTATGTATGAGTCATGGACTTCAACTGAAAAATTGTCTCTATAAGGCAATGCAGGCTGGTCTGGAGAGGCAATTTGAGACACTAATTAGTTGAGTTACTCATTCTGAATTTTTTTTTTTTTAAATTCCGTTTGTTGACTATAGCTGCACAAGTGTCTGCTTACATCTACAGAATTTATTTAATTGCCTGAGGTGACATACTGTAATATAAAGCACTTTAAAAGACTTAACATTTTAGTATTATGTTTTCTGAATGGTTACATGAAAATTTTCTCCCTGCAGGATCCTTATCTGATCCCCCCAACATTGCTGGGCTTAGTCATTTTTGTGAGCATATGCTGTTCCTGGGAACCAAGAAATATCCAAAAGAGAATGAGTATAGCCAGTTTCTTAGTGAGCATGCCGGGAGCTCAAATGCTTTCACAAGTGGGGAACATACCAACTATTACTTCGATGTATCACATGAACATCTAGAAGGTGCACTAGACAGGTAAACACTTTTTTTTTTTTTTTTAAATTTGCTTTTTTGTTATATAGGTGCTGTTTGAAATTGTGTTAAAGTTTTCTGGTAGTTTTGTCATTATGGTATTAAAGGAAGTGTTGAGAGCACTGTCTTTTGTTAAAACTGATACTGGGTGGTTTTCAGTTCAAAAGTTTTCCTCAGCTTTTTTTCAGCTAGCGGGGTTCTTCACTGAGGCAGAGTGTTTGAGTTCAAAGGTTGTGTTTACATTGAATATTTTTGGAAATATGAGGCACAGAATCTGATCATGAACTTATGCATTGTGCAAATACTCTGATTGTATAATCAAATACGCTGCTTCCTGTAGGATCCTTACTTCATTGATAGCAAAAGAAGGATGAAGTCTAGAAGTATATTAGGATGCCTTTAGTAAAGGGAACTCACTGAAATACCTGTTTTTTGTGGGAGGGGACAGAAATTGAAAGGTGTGTAGTCAATGAGGTAAAGAGTGGGTTTTCCCTTTGGAATTTCCTTGAACGTTTGACAAGACTGATTTGATTTATGAGATTAAGAGCCTCTTGCAGCTAAACTTCAAAACCATAGACATTTTCAGTGTGTGGAATATGATGCAAGGTCCTTGATCCTTATAGTACCTTATATGATGAATATGTCTGCATTTATAGATAAAGAAATAGACAAATAGAGATAGTGAATCAGTGTCAAAACTGTTACAGAATTTATAACTTCTGCTGTGAAAAAAATAATACGTTGATCTGTTTTCAAGAGGTCCAAGCTTCATACTTTTCTGTTACCATTTATGTACAGTACTCTTGAATTATTTTTTTTGGTTTAGATTTGCCCAGTTTTTCCTGTGCCCTTTGTTTGATGAAAGCTGCAAAGACAGGGAAGTGAATGCTGTTGATTCTGAGCATGAGAAGAATCTTATGAATGATGCCTGGAGGTTGTTTCAATTGGAGAAGGCTACTGGAAACCCCAATCATCCCTTCAGTAAATTTGGAACAGGTTTGTCAGAATATAATTATTCATCCATTGGAGTTCTGTGTAATATACATAGTATTGTTTATATAAAATTGTTAAAGACAGACTGAAACAACTCCCTTTTTTATTTTTCCTCTCCATACATGTTTTTTATGGTGCTTTATAATTTTTTCCACATCTTAGACCAAACAGAGCTAGAGAAAAATGTAGGAAGCAGAGTGATCTAAGACTTGCAGTACAGTGATGAAGCATCCTTTATGATTCTGACAATTAGCAGTGAATGCTGTTTTCCAGTTACTGGAAGTGTCATAATTTGGTATTGTTAAGTCTTTGTGCATAACACAGTGAATGAACTGTCTTTAAGTTGTTGTTAGCCACATGCTCTTTTTGCTAACTTACATTGCGTTAGGACTAGATGACAGTGACTATGTTGAATCGGAAAGATCAGCAAAGTAATGAGAAAATTACTGAGTAAGAATATAAAACCAAAAAAGCATAAAGCATAACAGTAGTAGATGGATAGATAAAATGGTTTTGGATAGGTTTTTTTTTTTCAGGCTTTTATTATTCACAGAATGCTTAGTAATAATATAAAATAAACACCCCAAAACCTCAGTTTGAAAAGCATTGAAGTAAGATACCATGGTTATGGTCAAAATCACAAATGTTTGGCTTTGGCAGAAGTTTCAATGGTTGTTTTGTTTTGGTTTATTTTTTTTTTCCATAGAAGTTTTTTTCTACATGAATTTATTTTTTAAACTATCAAAGTAACAGGGCTATTAGTTCATGCACTGCGCTGTTTAATCCTTGGGCATGAATGTGTTTTGTGGCTGGGCCAGTTTGCTGGCCGAGTAATTGATACAAATGTTGGGTACAGTAGGACGATGGGAGGGTGGATAATGGGCTTTAAGGGCTGGTTTCTTCCTCTGTCTTGAGAAAGAGAAGAATATTTTTGCAGCTGTTGATGGAGGGTATAGTTGAGGGGCTTCTAGCAGCCCCAGCTGCTGCAAAAGCATGAATTGCTCTGTTCACCAATAAAGAGAGGCTGTCTCTATAGGGACGCTGTAGAGGGCTGTTCTCTATAGGGGAACTATAACTGTGATCTCCAAACAGGTCAGTTTGAAAATACAGTCTTGGGAACGGCGTATTGATAGGCAGGCAAGCATCCAAAATACTTTCTGTAATCTTTGCTACCAAAGAGATTATTTAGTATTTATATAGCACTCAGAAAACATAAGTGAAAGTTGCAGAAATAGTTTTCTACAATTAAAAGATTTTATAGTTGACACAAGTGAAATGTTTGCACGGGGAGAATACCCAAAATGTGCTCAAATTCAATAGCAGTAGTCGTACTCACCTCTTCTTAGATCAGGCTCTGATTCTGAAATTAAATTATAGCACATAGCCTTCCTGTGGATCTGACTTTGCTGAGGTAGAGCCCAGCTTTGGTGGTTTTTATTTACCCAGAGATGACAACTGTGATACGGTTTTCATGACAATTGCAGTTGGCATCCTTCTTATTCTTTCCTTTTGAACAGCTGAGATGATGTTAGTCTGGCAGAATATAGGAATGACTCCATTTGATGCTTCAGGTCACTCCTCATTGCTGTGCAGCCTGTTTTGCCTGCAAACCTTCTATGATGCTTTGTCTGTCCAGAGGAACAAATGCACTTTAGTCTTCCAATTTACTTGTTAAGATGTGCATTTTGTCCCCAGATACCTTTCACCCATATCCCTGAATTAATGCCTGTGATGGTAATTCTTCTCCATCAGTACCTTCAACAGTGTCAAGTACTTTCCCAGGTACTTTTGCACTGTCTAGTGTCCATTTTCCTACATCTACAAGGTGTCTTCTGACTGTGCCTCTTAATGTACTCCAGTACTGTAATCACAGTTACTGAACTAAAGCTTTAGCTTTATTTTGGTTTGGTTTGGTTTGGTTTGTTTCAGCTTATGTATTGATTTTGTGGGAATGAACACAGTAGGCTATCTAAAACCTCTGTGTTTCATTTCTCTGTAGGTGGTGAGGAATATAGACAAAATACTTTAAACAGAATACCCTAATTATCCTTTTTAGGTGTCATTTAAGAATCCCTGCTTTTACTCACGTGTGAACTATGAAAATGAAAGCAATATATTGTTTCAGGTAGCCTCTCTATGATGATTTGTTGACTGTTGCAGTTGTAGTTAGTTATATCTAATCACCAAACATCTGGACAACATATTTGTCTTATACTATTTATGTGGCTAATTTTGCCTCGTTGGTTTGTATTAACTTATATCGGTGATTGCAGGATTTGTGCACTGGGCCTATATGCATAGCAGGCATGCTCTCCCAGTCTTTTCTCTCTTTCTTGCTGTTTTTCCTGTAAACACACAAGTCAACTTTTCTGCCTCATGTGCTTGCCTTATTCTTCCTCGTTATCCCTTGGTCTCTTCTGTACCTGGTCTGGTTGTGTCTTAAGGGAGTTACTGGTCTCAAAGTTAACATGTAGAATGTTGATTTGCAGTTCTGGTCTGTAGATTCTGTTTAACATTTTGTGTGTCCATGTAGTAATGGGAGTTAGAGTAGATTAAAATCCAGGAGCTCTTTATAGACTAATTTTTCTGTTGTTTCAAGTTCTTACCTTTACTAAACACAAGTTCTGCTTTGACTGTAAATGTGGAGTATGTCCTTTATAGTAAATTATTGAAAGCTTGATGTTGATGTAAAGATTGCACTAGTTAACAGGAGGATAACTTAATGGAGAAAGTTTGGTATCTTCTGCTTATGGGCTTATTCAGGGAGAGATGTAGTTCTGTTCTTCTTTAGTCCTGTTCCTCTACTGCAACACCTCAGCTGTTTGTGAAGCAGAAGCTGAACAGTCATGATTTACAAATCATGTTTGTAAATTAGTAAGTATTTATTTAATTTAATATACTAGGCTATGATTTGTGGCACACAATGCCACAAATAATTTAACATAGTGGTTCCTATGAGTGCATATATGGGAGTGAAACCTACTCCAAATGTGTCAAAGAAAAACCTTTTTCTTCTGCTGAATTAGTCTGGGCTAACTTGCATTGCTTTGAAATAACCCATTCAAATTAAAAAGATTAATTTGGAACAATAAACCATCCTTGATTCTTTAGGAATGTGCAGATTGAGAGTTGGAAATATTTGTTTCTCTGATAAGCTGAAACAGTATTGATCCAGTTTACTTATTATGCATAGTAATTATATTTAAAATTACTATCCATCTGGAGGAAAGCAGGTGTGTTAGTTAATGTTTTTTCATTTGTGAATTCATAAACTTCAAGTATTGTTAACTTTTTTTTTTTACATTACAGGGAACAAACTCACTCTGGAAACTAGACCGACCAAAGAAGGAATAGATGTAAGACAAGAGCTTTTGAAGTTCCATTCTACCTATTATTCGTCAAATTTAATGGCTATTTGTGTTTTAGGAAGAGGTGAGTTTTGTTCTGTTGGTTAAGTAAGACTTTACATGTATTTATGTTTGAAGAAAATGAAGTGTATGCAAGTGTCTGAAAATCCGCAGAAGGGAAAAAAGTAAAACTTGTACAGACTGACTAAACATAATCATGTTTAGTGAAGTCTCCGAAGCAACTTGCATGCATGAATTTATATGTTTGTAAGCTTACAATAGAAAAAATAAGCTGAAAGTTTAAAATCCATTATCAAGTCACTAGTTGCTGTCATTATGTGTTTGTCTTACGAAGACTGATACCTGTCTGGTTTCAGATGTTGGGAGGGCTTTTGATATTTTTTTCAATATTTTAGACTTATATTTTGACTACAAAAATTCCTGTATTATCAAAGGATAAACCTAACCTAAAACTTAGATAAAAAGCCTTCACTTCAGTTTACCTCTGAATTGACTTAACAGAGATTCCAACTGCTTAAAATCTTCAACAGTTGAGGTATTGTATATAGGTTTGCCAAAAGCTTAATAATAGTGTGTTGAAAACTGTTTGCTTTTTTGAAAATATGCTGGCAGACTGGTATTTGTATGGTGTTTTACAATAATGCTCAGATGGTGAGTATGAATGGAATAAAATTCATTAGCAAAGTGAAATCTTCCTTTACGACTGTCTGTTTACAGGTTGCTGAGTATGAAGCTGATTAACTAGATGTACCTGTTTAGTTTCAATCATAGTATACACATGAATCATTTTTTCTTGAAGATTTTTAAGGTGGGCAAACATAGTGAGGATTATCCAAGTTTTATGCATACTTACTACCAGATCGGTTCCAGGCTCCCTAGTTCATTTCAGTTCAATTTATTATTTTATCTCACCTGCTGTAACATCATGTATTGATTGGAATATGGTGAAAGCTTGGGTTTTTTTCTTCAGTGTTGCAAGCTGAAGAGTTTGTTTTGTTTTGTTTTGTTTTTTTTAGAGGTGGGGTATCAGATGTGTAACTAGTGGGTATGTAGATAATACCAGTAGGGCTTAATGTATGTCATATGTAAAAATGCCTTACTTATTCCCCTGGTAGCAGTGGAAACTTTCTGCAAGTAAACACTTAATATTGATGAAGATAGCTTGTAAATATTTTTCAATATTTTGAATTTATTTTTATTGCTGTTTGAAAGAGGTGCTCCCCCCCTTCTCATTTTTTGTTTCTTCTGTTTATTTTACCTGAGGGGAAAAATAAGTTCGAAACACTGATCTTTGGAATTTTTCCTTTCAGTTTTACAAAATAAAATAAATTACATTTTTTAAAGGTAACTCTTGGGCTTTTTGTTAGTCCACTTGTATACAAAATGCTGTACAACTACCCTTATTTGTCATAATTAATTAAGTAGTTGTTGCTGTAATAGTGAGGTGCTGTGTGGACAAATGTTGCATCTTACTTTCCCTGAAAAGACACATACCTTTTCTCACTCTGTTATTTGTTCAAGCAGGAGAATTATGCAATTGCTTTCCAGAAGGCTTTATGTTAATGACTGGTTTGGCTATTTGAGGGCTTGCCTCTAGCATCCAATTTGAAAATTTACAAATTCTTCCTGATGATTTTCCTTTTATTTTCAGGGTGCCCCACCCATAAAAAGCAAACCACAGAAAACAAGCCTGTTTAGCATTATTCCATAAATTCTTTGCTGAAATACCTTGCTATCAACGTAGCAGTACTGCTGATTAATACATAAATAGTTAGAAATTCTGTAACAAATATGTTGAGTTGCTCACTGCAAGTCCCATGTGATGTCTTTACTCTTGTGCAATCTGAAATAAATGGATGTCTAAAGCTATGTGCAGCCTAGTAGTTATCTGATTTTCCCACCAATTTATATACATAATGTAAAACAAATAAAAATATGTCAATAAAATTGGTGGGGGAATCAGAATATATTTTCTCTAGTAAATAGTAATAAATACGTGAAAGTTTGCTAAAATTAAATAATGAAATTAAGGGTTTTTTTTTTACCTAATCAAAAGCAAAATTCACTGAGTAATCACAGAACAGCTTTAGTGCAGCAGTTCACAGAGACTTTTCGATGGAAACTTCCTCAGTAAGAATCATCCTGGCAGCTGAAAATCTGTCCTAAAGAAAACACTCACTGTAGTTGTAAAGCTTAAATGAATGTGTATTTGGCTGATGTGGATAAAAAATAATGATCTTTAATAGAATTACATGCAGTTCACAAAAATTTATTTTACAGTGACCCATCTTGGATTGCATTGTTTTGGTTTTTTTTCCCTGCACGGTTCTGTCAGTGTAGTGTAGGAGTATGCACATGTTGGGCAGGGAAGATTCTGCTTTCTAAATCTAACTAGGATTGTTTTGACTAACAAGGTGACTGCTTTTTGAAATCTTTCAAGGATTAGGGTTGTTCTTTGAGACATTCAAGAAATGCCCGTTTTTTTCCTCAACGCCCACCTTTGAAAGGCATGTGCTAAAAAACTTGATGGATGAGTCTTTCTTATCTTATTCTCACTTCAGAATGCATTTCTTGAAGCAGATAGCTGTTTTGAAGGCAGTATTTCAGGCAGTAGTTCAGAGGAATTCGTGCACAAAATCTAATTCTTCAGGCAAGTGGTCTTCCTCTTGTTTTTGGAGAGTACTAGAGTCACAGACTGAAACTAGAATGGATGTAAAAGTAGAAGTGCTTAACAGGTCACAGATGTGTGTGAAATTTTGAGGTGCTGAGGACTGATGACCCTGGCTCAGAGTGTACGTGAAGTACTGGAGGTGAGCTGAGGCTGAAGAAAATCCATTTTGGCAAAGATGCGTTCACTCTGGAAAATTTGCAGCTGTAATGCCGTGTCCCTTAAGCTTTTTGTGAAATGTTTATTTTTGTAAATGTTCAGTATCTTTTCTTCAGTTCCAGCTTAGATTCATCGGTGAAATTTAAGGATGCTTTTCTGGTCACAGGATTTTATTTTAATCATGTTTGAAGTTTTCCTTTAATAAGCAGGTTGCTTATAGCACGTTATAGTTCAAAACTTAAGTATTAATATAGGTTTTCTTTCTGAAATTAATAATCATCATACCATTAGAAGTACTTTTCTATATAATTTGTGTCTACCCCAAAGAATATACAAAATTTAGATTTGCCAGAATCTTCAGATTGTGATTATGCTTTTTCTAATGTTTCTTTATTCTAGAGTCCTTGGATGAGCTGACTTGCTTAGTCGTAAAGTTATTTTCAGAAGTAGAAAATAAAAATGTCCCTATACCAGAGTTTCCTGAACATCCTTTCCAAGAAGAACATCTCCGAGTATGTATAGAGATACATCTTCCTTCAAGAGTGTATGCCTTAAATGATATTTTTTATATTTCAGTAATACATTGTGCACTTCACTGCTTTTGTATCAGTGTCACTTCTAAGTTCCATATTTCTTTCTTAATTTTCCACCCACCTTTCCATGCTGAGTATAGTTTTGTTTAGTTAATAGTAAAGCTAGTACATTTGGTTGCAGCTGTAAGCAACTGAGAGATAATTAATTCTCTCTTTGTTTACGTCATGAATAACTAAACTGTTTCCCTAAGTTTTACATACTTTTGAGATTTTGTTGATACGTTTAAAATAAAATATGTCTCTATGTGTGAAAGGAACATGATATGTGCTTCTGAGATGAACAAAATAATGAGTTTCCTTTTGTTTATTTTCCCCCACAGCAACTTTACAAAGTGGTACCTATTAAGGACATTAGAAACCTTTATGTCACATTTCCTATACCAGACCTTCAGAAGTACTATAAATCAAACCCTGGCCATTACCTTGGTCATCTGATTGGGCATGAAGGCCCGGGAAGTCTTTTATCAGAGCTTAAAGCCAAAGGTAAGTCCTTTGAAGGTAAAGAATTAAAAAGTAACTTATTACACAGTTTTTTAAAGCTTAGCTGTATTTCACTTAAAATTAGCCTCTGTATGAACTGTTTGAGTAATTTGACTTGTAAGTAATTTTGTGCTTTATTTTTGTTTTTGTGGTGGGTAAAAATAAATAACAGGCACTCTGACTACTGAAGCTATTGTTTCTTGCACTCCCCTTTATCTACCGCTGTTTAGAGAGCTATGTGAACTTTGACATAATGAACCTGTTTCTGTTCTGTCACTGGCAGAGACTGCTGTCAGATCCCTTAATGTCTGGAAGACTGCAAGAGTGTATCTTTTGCAATATTATTTTTCTTTATATTACTGTGTTCCGAAGAGAAACAAATTGCCCAGTAATCAACTGATACTGAGTTTGTCGTGTCTGAGCAGAAAAGCAGATAGGTCTGACTTGTGTTACGTTTAACTTGCACTGTTGCTATAGGTGTTAAGGAAGAGAAGGAGAATCATAGAGCAGTTTGGGCTGGAAGGGACCTTTAAAGGGCATCTAGTCCAACCCCCCTGCAGTGAGCAGGGACCTTTTAGCTAAAGCAGGTTGCTCAGAGCCCCGTCCAACCTGGCCTTCAATGTTTCTAGGGATGGGGCTTCTGCCACCTCTCTGGGCAGCCTGTTCCAGTGTTTCACCACCCTCATTGTAAAAAATTCTTCATTATATCTAGTCTAAAAGAATATGTAAACATGTTCTTAAATGTAGTCTAAGAGAACGCATAAAGTCGTCAAAATGTTTAAAAAAAAAAGAAAAAAAGATGTTGCTGAAGCATACAAAAAGTGGCATAAATTGTTACAGATTGTTTACGTAATGTATTTTATTTTTGATTTCATAGGATGGGTAAATACTCTTGTTGGAGGACAGAAGGAAGGTGCTAGAGGTTTCATGTTTTTCATCATTAATGTGGACTTGACAGAGGAAGGACTTTGTAAGTGAAGCACTATGTCTGCGTTCCATGTTATTCCTGATCTGATGGGTTTGTGTTTGTATCTAAAGAGACTAATTGTGTTTATAGTTTGAAAGCCAATTTAATTAACTAGTTATTATTCAGTTAGATCCTCTCTAATGTGCTAACGCACCTCATCAAACATAAGAAACCAACTTATTTGAGGTTATATTAAAGTATTTAATTAAATATTTTATAGTAAATCTCTTTAAAAGAAAAGCTGTTAATATCTTTGTGTGCTACTTATTCATACTATTTGGACCAGAGTTAAATTATATTATAAACCAGTATCTTAACATAAGACATGTTCAAAGCAGTTCTCAGAATGAGTTGGGGACCTGAACACTTATCTTAAATTCATGTCCGAGAAAAAACATGTTTAACTTCGCTGGAGGGATTGCATATGTACTTAAATATCTTGATGTATCAGGGTGTAATTAAAAATGAAACCTTACATATTTTTTCTTTGTGCAGAACTGACTGAATTATTAAGCAAGTGTTTTTTCTTTCTAGTGCACGTTGAAGATATTATTTTGCACATGTTTCAATATATTCAAAAACTGCGTACAGAAGGACCTCAAGAGTGGGTTTTCCAGGAGTGCAAGGTACAGTGATGGGTACTTGAGATATGCAGTGGTTTTACACATTTTTGAATTATAAGTAGAAAGAGCTTCCTTGGCTGTGGAAATAGCCTAAAGGTGCAACATGACACAAATATAAAGTACATTCAGAATATATTGTCTTAATGTGCTTGCAGAGCTGTGAGTTGATGTTTTGTGGTAGCATAATGGAGATGGAGGAAGAAGTATCTTACTCTGTCCACAAGGGTTTTGTGTAAAGTGTCCTATTAGAATTAAATAGTACTGCACTTCTCAGTGACAGTGTGAAACAAAACCGGTTTTATTTATATATTAGTCTCATCGGTTCACTAAAAATACTTGGGTAAAGATTTCTTGTTCCATCTTAGCTTTATTTGGTGAAAACTGTTGAGCCTCTTCTGTCTAACCCTAGAAGTTCTGTGGATGGGTTAACTTTGTTTCTTGCATTTTGGCACTGTATACCTGTAACAGAAGTCTCTTTACCCTCTGCTAAAAGTCCCAATGGAATTGTTTCACTGTCATTGTAAGTAAATATAAGATTTGAAAGAGGTAGTTCCATCCTCCCATTTCATCCCTGTGTCTTTCCCTTGCTCCTCTTGTACCAACGTCAGCAGTCCTGAGGCTGGGAGGCAAGACAGAAGAGCTAGGAAACTAGTTTGAAAAGGATCTTCTTTTGAGTTTATTTTCAGCTGAATTGTTGAATTAACCAGACTCTCTGCATGGTTTAACAGCAGGATGGACTGCCATTTTCATTGGCTTTATAGTCTTAGATCTCTTTAATTCACCCTTGCCATTGTACTCTAAGAATGATGTGTTCCATTTTTGTGGTTAAGACAGCATAAAGAAACACACTTTTTCTGTCTCTAAACTTGCCTTTTGGCTGGCTGAACAAAAGGAACAAAAAAGGAAGAGGGAAAGGCTTCAGTCATTAACATAGAATGAACGTTGCACTGGAACACTATACATTGGTTGTATCAAAGTCGATGTGTTTTCAGATGATCTAGAAATTTAAATATATGAGCTGTGGGATGAATCTCTTACTACAAACAGGACTTACAAGACTTGTATAACACCTCACATTATGAGACTATCCGAAATGGCTTGTGAGTTTTGTGCAGCTTGAACATTACTGAAGATTTTTGTGTTGGGTACCTGTTGTAACTACTATAAAATGGATACAGCAAAACTCCTTCCTTTTCTTATGTTATAAAAAGGAATTTAGTAGCCAATAATTATTCTTAAAATAGTCTTTAATATATGCTTTTCAGCCCTTCCTATGTTGTTTCCTAGGATCTAAATGCTGTGGCATTCAGATTTAAAGATAAAGAACGACCACGAGGTTATACATCAAAGCTTGGAGGAATGTTGCATGTAAGTGTGTGTGGGGGTTTTGTTTGTTGTTGGGTTTTTTGTTTGGTTGGTTGTTTTTTTTTTTTTTTACAATACAGTAATCACTTAGCCGTACAATTGATTATACTCTTAGTAAGTACAGGTATTTTCAAAGGTCCTCTACACTTCTTGAGCTTAGGAAGCTAATATTGTGCTGCATGGATCTTAGTTTTGGCAGTCAACAAGTCACCTTTCCTTCACTCTACCATTTCATACTTGGTAGAACAGATTTCATAGTAACTGGAGTTGCTATTTGATCTATTTCACTGTTTCTTAAAACATATGTGCCTTGTCATTCTGTGTCTACCTGATAGCTAAATGTTCTCTAGGGAAATATTAGAGAACTAATATTTTATCATAAACACAAGCACTATGTTTCTAAATGCTTCCATAGTTAACAATGTTGAAATACTGCAGTAAGGAGGAATGTTTGTATTAAGATAGCAAATTAGAAATGTTTGACTCTACTAACGCAATTACATATTGGTACTGAAAGAATCATCATATAGCTTATACTTCGTGTTTATTCTTCTTGCAAAATTTGGTTCCCTCATTTTGCACTAAAGGCAGATTTAGGCAGGTTTTTGTTTTGTCTAGTGGAATTCGTGCAACTTTTATTCGATGCAGCCATTCTCCATTGCACAGCTAATGTCTACATCTGCTCAGAGGCAGTTTTTGTTTCTTAGCAGGAATTCCTGTTAATGCTCCTCTGTCTTTAATTTGTGAAGTCTAAAATAACGATCTTTAATTTTAGACTTGTCTTTCTGTTTACCAAAAACCATTAGATTTAACTGAAAACATTTGAATGGATATTTAAAGGAGCTCCTATTTGGGATGCTGTCTCTTGCTTTTGTTCTGGCCAATGCATAAAAATCTCTTTAACAAATGGACTTCTGACTTTTAAAACAGTCTTTTGGTGGACTGTATTTGTTAGATCATTCCTGATTACAACTGCTGTCTCCAGAAATCGGGCCAGGAGCTTGCCAGCAGTGTTCCAAAGAGCAGGATATTGATTCAGGATTTTTTTTTGTTTTCACTGCTTTTCTTTTGCTGTGCTTTGCAGTATGAATGGTAATTCTGTTTCTGCTGTTAGTTGCTTAAACACAAATAGGAAAATAACTTTCCTAGTTCTCTTTATTGCCTCTTAGTCATACTAAGTTTATGCTTTGAATTAACCAAGCTAGAGTTGTTTGGTGATTTCATGCACTTAGCAATACTAGTTGTCTTTCTTAACTTGGAGAAGAGCCTGAGTATAAGTTAGCATGAATAAATGTACTGTCCTAAGTTGTGACATATTTACACAAAAGATTTAAAAAAACTTTTTATTTAACAAAACAGAAGTATTCAAACCACATTTGTGCTGGTCTAAGGAGTTACCACTAAGGTCTTGCTGTCAAGTTATGGTCAACTTGTCCAGCCGTCCTGCTCAAGCAATACAAAAATAACAAAGTAACGAAATAAATTTTATGTTCGGTTCCAGATGGTGGGCAGACTGTGGCCTGTGTTTGTAAAGGAAGTAAAGCGTAGACTCGGTCACTAAATCTGTATTGCCTTGGTAATTTCGGAATAGAAATGCATGGATTACTTAAAACCTCCCCTTCAAGTTGCTTAGTCTGCTTAGCCATTTATGCAAAATGTAGTTAAATGAGCGGTCTTCAGTGTACAATGAATGTTTTGGACAAGACCTTTCAAATTCTGGATCTTTAGCATTCATAGCAGAATTTTTTTGTAGCACAGGTTTGGTTTGTTGTCTTTGGTCTCCATCTCTTGCCACACACC